CCTTGCGTTGAGAATGATCTGACTCCCAGCTCTCGACAGAGAGCTGGTGGCAACACCTGCCCCGCTTAGGCGCGGCAGCTTCTGATGTTGCTTTAACTGGCTCAGATCCTCTTTCTCCGCCCACCCGCGTCGCATTCTTCTCCGCCCTCGAGTGCCGAAGCGTTTTGGGGGGCGCACCGAGGGGGCACCAAAGCGTGCTTGGCGAAGCAATCGGGACCCTGGGTGCTCCTTCTTGCCTTACCTTGCAGCTGAGGCTACACTGATTTTGCGCTCAGCTGCCTGACAGATTTGAGGATTGAAGGAGTAGAAGGGTGGCGGGTTCTTTTCCTCTGTCCCCGAGCCCTACCTTCACGGGCGGGATTCGGGACGGGGTGTGTGAATAGAACCCGTGTAATACCCTCATATATACTCTTTATCCTCACCTCTCCGGCGCCTGGCCGTTCGGGCTCGGGCATTGGGACATATCGATCAGACCTTTGATCGTGCAGGAGGGAAAGACATCCATCTATCCCTCCTTCCCTCTACCAACGGATCAGGGGTTCTGTACCCTTGTACTTCAACACCATTCGCACCTCCATCCCTGATCCCCCCTTCCCTCCGCCTCCTTTTCCTCATGATCCTCCTCCTCCTCCTCCTCCTCGTCCTCGTCGTCCTCCTCCTCCTCCTCCTCATCATCATCATCATCATTATCATCATCATCATCATCCTTCTCCTCCTCGTCCTCCTCCTCCTCCCCCTTCTCTTCTTCCCCCCCTCGAATCACCCCCATTCACCGTCCGTTCCAACATCGCGCGCCCCCCCCCCCCCCCCCATCCCCGCGGATCCAGGGGGGGGGGGGCGGGGGAGGGGGGGGGCGAGTCTCGCCCCATCCAGAGTATGCATAGACAGCCCCCGTCGGATTGCTTCTGGGCCTCAAGGGAGGGTGGCGGTGTACAATATGTCACCAACATGCCTGAAGCCACAAGGAATAGTAGTCGGCGGTATAGGTTCGCGGCGTATCCGCAAACCGAGTTATTCGATTTATACGACCTGGGGAACCGATGCCCCAGGACCCCACGGTGGATATCGAAAACGCCTACGGCGAACCACCGCCGCCCCTTGCTGTTTTGAATGGCCCATGTGGCCGAGCGTTGTGGCAAGAGTTTTGCTAAGTTGTCGGACGATGCGTGTTGTTTCCCAGCCGTTGTGGAAACCCTTCGGGGAACAGTTGGGGGAGGATGGCGGAGGATATCAGGAGGAGCAGGAGGAGGGGCATATTGGGAGGTTCTGGGGGCACTCTTGGGGCCTCCTGAGAGCTTCCTGGGAGCCCCTTGGAGGCATCTTGGGGCCTTTTTGGAGCTTTCGGGAGCCTTTGGGGGCGTCTTCTTTGGCGGTCTTAGCGCGTTCCTGGCCTGGCTGACGCCGTCGGAAGCCGTCTTGGGGGCATCCCTTCTTGGGTTGCTCCAGGGCCATCTTGGAGGCCACCTTGGGCGTCTTGGAGGCCTCTCGGGCCGCCTTGTGGCCTCTTGGGGCCATTTTGGGGGCCCATTGGGCCGTTCTGGGGCCATCTTGGAGGCCCCTTGGGCGATTTTGAAGCGATCTTTGGGGTTTTTTGGGCCGTGTCGGGCTGTCGGAAGGCAGAAACGAAACACATACCACAATCCTTGCAACATTTGGAATTCAATGTGTTTGGCCTCTTCGGGCCTTTTCAAAACCCCCTCTCGGAGGCCTCTTGGGCCGTCTTGGAGACCTCTTGGGGGCCTCGCCGTCTTGGAGATCTCTGTGGGGCCTCTTGGAGCCATCTTGGGCCGTCTTGGTAGCCTCCTGGCCCGTCTGACGCCGTCGGAAGCCGTCTTGGGGGCATCTTTGGGGCCCTCTTGGGGTGCTCCAGGGCCGTACTGGAGACCATCTTGGGCGTCTGGGAGGTCTCTTGGGGCCGTCTTGGGGCCCTCCTTGGGGGCCTCTTGGGCCGTTGTGGAGCCATCTTGGAGGCCTCCTGGGTGCTTTTGGGACGATCTTTGGGAGCTCTTGGGCCGTCTCGGGCAGTCGGAATGCCGAAAAGAAACACATGCTAAAACTGTTCACCCCCCTAACCCTCTAGAGAGTATCAGTGATGTTGGCTTCTTCGGGCCTTCCTGGTGGCCCTCTGAGATGCCCCTTGGGCCGTCTGGGAGATCTCTTGGGGGCCTCTTGGGCCGTCTTGGGGCCATCTTGGGCCGTCCTGGTGGCCTCCTGGTCCGTCTGACGCCGTTGGAAGCCGATTTGGGGGCCTCTCGGGGCCGTCTTGGAAACCTATTGGGCCGTCTTGGTGGCCTCATGGTCCGTCTGACGCCGTCGGAAGCCGATTTGGGGGCCCCTCTGGCCCGACTTGGGGCCCTCGTGGGGTGCTCCAGGGCCGTATTGGAGGCCACCTTGGGATTCTTTCAGACTTCTTGAGCCGTCTTGGGGCCTTCTAGGGGGCCAGGCCTCTAGGGCGATCTTAGGGCAATCTTTGGGGGCTCCTGGGCCGTCTCGGACCATCTGAACGCCGAAAAAAAACAAATGCCAAATTATAACAGAAACCTGAGTACAATCATTGACATTGGCCTCTTCGGGCATTTCTGGAGGACCTCTTGGAGGACTCTTGGGCCGTCTTGGAGGCCTCTTGGAGGCCTCGTGGGCAGTCTTGAGCCATCTTGAGGACATCTTGGGCCGTCCTGGAGGCTTCTTGGGCGGACTGAGAGGCATCTTGGACCCTCTTGGGCCGTCTTGGAGGCCTTCTTGGACCATCTTGGGCGAACTTGGAGGCCATCTTAGCCGCCTTGGAGGCCATCTTGGGGCCAATGGAGTACACTTTTTCGGCGACCTTCGGGTGGCCGGCGCAATCAACCGAACCCCCAGAGGGAGTTCGTTTGGAAAAAGACGTACAACCAACCGTATAGGATTCAGCACGCCGGGCACCCCTGTTGCAAGCCAAAAAGGGGCGGCGGATCTAGTTGCCTTCGGTCCATCCCCCCACCCTGCCTTGATTGTAGGCCAGAGGCCTCTGAGATGCCTGTGGGGATCTCTTGGGAGGCCTCTCGGAAGCCACTTGGAGGTGGTTTGGGAGTGGTTTCGGGTCCTCTCGGTGGCCTAATCGGGGCCTCTGGGGGGCCTCCTGGAGCTTCTTGGGGCTTCTTGGGAGGCCTACTGGCGGTCTCGGAGGTCGTCTTGGGGCGGAGGGCTCGAAATGTCGGTTCGTGTTCTCCCTCTGGGGCCTGACGGAGGACCCGAAGGACCGGAGGATATTCCAACTCGTGCCTCGGGGCACGATGGCGGATCTTTGGGGGGCCGCCCCCCTTGGGCCCGAGAATGTCCATATCCACTGCCTCCTAGGTTTCTGGGATGACGGTACCCCAGGCGGTAAATATGCATGAAAACCCAGCCTCACAGCAAGAGACTCTGAGACCGGAGGTTTAGAAACAACTGCATCATCGTGAAACAACCACGACCAGGGCCAACGGACGAATCTTCCTGCTGCTTTTCTCGATCTAGGCCGCGACTCCGAAGCCGCCCCCGGCGCGCTCCGCGCGCCAGGGACGGGGCTCCAGCACGGATCCAAGAAACCCGCGCGGACCTCCGAGAGTTTATGACAACGCCGTTTCGTATATTCGCCTCATCCTCCTCCTCCTCTTCCTCGTCCTCCTCCTCCTCCTCCCCTCCTCCTCGTCCTCATCCTCCTCGTCAGCTTTCACCGGCATTTGCGGGCCGAATTTCGTGGCATGTTGGTTGCGTGTTGACTCGCCTTAAAACCGTTTTTGTTTCCTGAGCTCGCGCCGCGGAAATGTATCTTAAGACCGACTTTTTCTTTGGGCTCTGCCTCTGTGTGTGAGAGGGGAAAACCAAGTTGCTAACTTCTCCGGTTGTCGGGGATCGCCCCTTCCAGGTCATCAGGGGCAACGTTAGGAGGGATAGGCGCAGGGTGGGGCGACGCATCGATCCCCAATCGCCCAACTATTGCCATCAGGTGCCCGATAGCTCACCCCGCCCAGCAGCATGCGGATTCGCTATCGATGGCCTGTCGCGGATCTATCGAACGTATCGCCGATTCAAGCTCGATGTCCTCCCCCCTGAGTCGGTGCCCCTGAACGTTCTCCCTCGGGTCGTGGGGGGGGGGAAGGGAAGGGAGGAGGAGGAGGAGGAGGAGGAGGAGGAGGAGGAGGAGGAGCAGGAGGAGGAGGAGGAGGAGGAGGAGGAGGAGGAGGAGGAGCGGGAGGAGCGGGAGGAGGAGGGAATGGACGAGGTACAGAAGAAGGCGGAGGAGGACCAGAATAGACCCAAGATGCATTATAGACTGCTGACTCGGGGGGGCCCAAACGATGTGGTGACCACACCGTCCAGTGAGTCATTGGGGATTCGGGGACACCGCACGGTGTTGGGACTCGGGTCGTTCTCTGAGGATGTCTAAGGAAATTGGGGCCTACGGGGTCCCAGACCTGTGCGGTGACGGACTGTACGGTGAGGTCTGTTGGGGATTCGAGGTCATTGCGCGGTCTGTCACCACACGGTTTTGTCGGGCATTGACAACGCCCCCCGAGACGAGTCGACCGAGGATTAAATCTGGACTGGTTCATTAGACATTGGTATTCGACCGTGCCAGTGCAGTCCCCAGTCGGTTTCGCTAATCGACGTGCGTTTCGCCGGATGCATTCGGTGGTTTGTGGACGTCGGTTAGCTACCCCGCTGTGGTGCAATCGGAAAGTGGTGCCGTGTGCACGCGGAGGCCCCCGGCAGTTTTCTTTCAAACAGAACGTTTTGCGAAAGGGGGTTCTTTCCATTTCGGGCTTTAGGACCCCTGACTGCGCTTTGCCTCCCTGAAGGTTAGGGCCACAGGCCTGACCCGACCGAGGGAAGATGTTCCCGATCTCGGTGATGGTGGCCGACAGATTACCACCAACACCAAAGTCCAGGATCGTGCTCTCTCGGTGGAGGCACCCTCCCGCGTTGGTGTTGGTGTCAATTTCAGCGTCCGATCATGTACCCCCAGCGCTGCCTCTCTCGAGGTCAGGGTCCGGGGCCTCCAGCTCCAGGCGCCCGTGGTGGCGATCGGGGCCGCGCCCGCGGCGCCTGGCCAGGGCGGCGCCTCGCGGCTGCAGGTTCCGGGTGCTGCCAGAATTGGGCCTGAGGCCCAGGTTGACCCCAGCTTTCCAGGGCTCCCTTGGACTCCTCCGACTCGATCCGATTCGATCTCGATCGATTCCGATTCCGATTCGATTCGACTTGGGGTTCCATTTTGGATGCCGGTGTCTCAAGGCAGGCCTTACTAGCCAGCCTATTCCCGCCGATTCGAGTCATTTTGATCGCCGATCCCACTTGTCGATTCGATGCGTCCTCCCCTGACAGGCTGACTCCAGCTTTCTCCCAGTGATTGGTACGATCGAAATGAGTACAGAAAGAATGGTCCGAAGCCCGACGGCAGTTCCAGTCCATTTGAACGGGACTCGCAGGCGTAGTCCTTTTGAGGCAAATGGTCGCCTGCCCAAAAGCGGCCGCTGTCGGTTGCGGAAAACATTTGTTGTTGGGCATCGTACCCATGTTTCCCGTAGAAGTGTTGGGCATCGTACCCATTTTTCTCGTACCCAGTGCGGTCGTCCAACAGGGAGGCGCAGGTGGCTTCCAGGGCACCCCTCGCGAGGCCCATCTGGGGCCCCAGTGGCTCTCAACTTTGCGCGAGAAGCCAAGGAATCGCCTCGGGGCAAGGCCACTGGCAGCTCGTGGGCGACAAACATGTCCATATCCGCGGCCTCGCGGGCCGGGTCCCTAGGCCGGCACCCCGCTGGTGCCCCGCGCGGATGCCCCGCGGGAGTTTTCTCGCAGATGCTTCGCGCGGAGCGTATCCGCTCGACCGAGAATCCGCGGGATCAAGCATTTGAATCCAGACCGCGAAGGCGCGAATGCAAATATGTTCGCCGCTCGTGAGCCCCAGTGGCCCGCCGCGCGGCTAAGGAATCGCATCGGGCCAAGGAAACTGGCAGCTCGTGGGCGACAAACGACAAACATGTCCGTATCCGCAGCCTCGCGGGCCGGGTCCCTGGGCCGCGACCCCGCGGATGCCCCGAGCGGAGCGTATCCGCGCGACCGAGCATTTGCGGGATCGCACCTTGGAATCCAGACCGCGAGGGCTCTGATGCCGATATGGTCGCCGCTCGTGAGCCCCGGTGGCCCGCCGCGCGGCTGGAGCAGCTGGGGGGTCGCGTCGGGCCAGGGCCACTGGCAGCACCTGAGCAGGTGGTCCGGGCCGACGGCCTCGTGTCCTTCTACAGGGTGCGGCTGCGGCAGGGCGGGGAGAGCGGGGGCGGCGGCGGTCAGTGGCCCGGCGTGCAGGCGCCCGAGAGAGAGAGCAGAAGCGGCGCTCGTGGGCCCTCGCAGTACAGTAAAGGCTAGTCGTGGCCGAGGCTTGCCGTGGCGAGGCACGCCCCATCGTTTCGTATGGTAGCCACAGCCTTTCGGGGGTCCGCCAGGATTTTTGTTGGGTCGGCGCTGCTCAGAGGTCGAAAGGATGCCGATGCCGTCGCCCCCTGAGAAAGCACACCAGGGGGTGGCGGTATCGGTGTGTGGTTTTCGTTCCCCCAAGCCTCTTTCTCCCAGCGCGCGAAGTTGGCCAGGGGCGGCGCCAGAGGCGCCGCCCAGGGGGTTCCAGCCCCGACCCAAGACCTCCGAAAGGCTTCATGCGTACTGTGCCGCCTCTCGCTCCTCTGAGGTGGACCCCGAGGCGGCTTTCTACCTGCCCTCCATCGGAGGGCCCCTGCAGTGGCTGTTCTTGAGCGGCCCGGACTCCCCCGCCCGGGCCAGCGCCTCCTGGGCGCTCCTGCCCGAGGTCCAGGCCTCCCAAATGGGGTCCGAGCAGCAGATGGGGCCGAAGGAGCGCGCCGCATCGCCGACGCATCGGCGATGCGGCTCGATGTGGAGCCCGATCTGTTTTTGTCCGCGGCGACGTCGCCGACACACTGCCGACGTCGACGATGCATCGCCGATGCATTGGCGATGCGACGCGATCCTCGGACTCCATGTGGGGGGCCTCTACGAGGGCCGCTTCTTCGCCCGTGGCGGCCTCCGCGACGGGTCGATCCTGTTCGGTGGCACCTCCCAGGCGGAGGCCCAGCTGCTCTCCCGGGCGCACGCGGCGTCGGTGTCGGCCCTGGCGGCCTCGAGCGAGTGCGCATCTCGGCGGCGCGCCTGGGGCGTCGGGGGGACCTCAGATCGGGGCGTCGCATTCTTTTCGCATCGGGCGTTTTTCCCAGCTTCGGGCCCCGGGGCCGTCATAGTTCGACCTGGCTTGAAAACGTACAGAAAAAACTGAGTCTAGGGTTCTGGTCGTGATTTTTCACGATGTCGTCATGTGTTCGCAACGTGGGATCTGAGGGGGGCGGGCCTCTTCGAAAAGGTCCAGAAGGCCTCCAAGCCTTCCGAGAAGGTCTCCGAGCCTTCTCCGGACCCGCAGAGGTCGGCGGCGAAATCCAAACCCTACCCTCGCTGGTCAACGATTCAGGCAACTCGGTGGGCGGCGGGGGTAGGGTTCGAAATTTGTCGGAAACGTGGCGAAATCCGAACATACCCCCGCCTCCCATCGACTCAGGATAATCGAAATCGATGCTTGGTGGGGGTAGGGTTCGGATGTCGCCACCTAGGCCTCCGAGAAGCCCCGCCGCAGCAACACGCGCAGCTATGCGGCAGGGAGGCTCCGCCGCTGCATCGGCCCATTCCCTGCCCAGAGCGTGGTGTTAGGCACGGGGGGCCCACCTGTTGGCCAGCGTCCCCCCCTGTCGCAGCGCCGCCGAGCATCGCAGATCCTGGGCGCGTACGGGCTGCTGATGCTCGCGGGCTCCCTGGACGGAGAGGTCTGCCTGTGGGCCGCCTCCGACTGGGAGTGGCGGTCCTTCGCCTGCGCGGCGCGGTGGCTCGGGGGAAGGAGAAACGACACCACCACGACCAGGTGGGGGGGGGCACCTCCACCAGCGAGGAGGCCCACGATGCCTTCCCCAGCTGGGGAAAGGGGATGTCTCGAGCGACAGGGGGGGGGAACCACACCACCAGGGGAACCCTCCCTGGCTCCTCCCGCTGGTAGTCCCTGGTGGTGGTGTCGCTTTTCCTCGGTCCTACAGGTGGCAACCGCACCTGGCCCCCGTGCGCGGGGTGGACTTCGGCGAGCGGCTGGGCCTGGCGCTCTCTTGCGGCGACGACGGCCTTCGGAGGAGAGAAAGGTACCGATACCGCTACCATCTCCTTGGTTTCGCTTGCTTGGACCTCCTGGGGGGCCCAGCACGGCTGAATTCGCCCCGAAATTCTTGTCAGAACGCACCCCGGAAGAGGTCCGGGGGACAGCGATATCGGTATACCTCTTGGGTTCCCCAGGCCTCGTGCACGTGTACAGGCTGCGGCCCCCCACGCGGCTGCTGCGAGGGTACCGCTTCCAGGGCGGGCTGCCGGCCACGGAGGCGCAGGGCGACTCGAGCCTTGCCGCCACACTGGCGAGGCCCACCTCCTGGGCCCGGGAGCGGTACACGCTGCATGCGACCCCGCCTGGCTTGGGGCAATGGGAGGCGCACACACCGATCCCTGGTCCAGGAGTGGGCCTGGCATTCGCCGATGTGATTTGTCCATCCGCGGCCACAGACGTCCTGACCTCTTCCCGGGGGCCGTTCTACACACCGGATCCATGCTGGATGGTCCCAGGGTCGGCCTCCATGGCCCGAACGCGAAGGAGCAACGCCCAGACCGTATCGTCGGAGGTCCGGGTCGCCCGAGAGGCCCGCTTCGCCGCGGGCGTCCCCGCCGCCGTCGTGGCGTGCTCGGCGGAGGCAGCCAGGGTCTGCGTCTGGGCGTTGGCGGGTTTCCTGCTCGCCTCGCTCGACCTCGCCGCGGCCGGCCCGGTGCGCGGGCTGCGCGTCGTGTCCGAGGGCGACGGCTCGCGCGAGGGGCTCCTGGTGGCGCTGGGCGCGGACGGCGCTGGAAAGGTCGAGGAAGAACAGATGACCCCATCAATTTTTGTGTCGTCGGCGGCGAGGCAGATCTGGTTGCACCAGCGATCGAGCTAAACGGGTGCACCGAGAAGCGATTCGGCCAGCGTGCAGGAGCGGGAAGAGGGCAGAGGGGGCGGCCGCGGAGGGGGGCGGGAAGGAAGCTATTCAGAGGTGGAAGAGTTCTCACCTGAGTGTGGGAATTGTGGCCAAGGCCACGAGGCCGCGCGCTGCTGGGGAGGACAGTGCGGGCCAAGACTAGGGGCACCGAATTGGGGCGGAAGCTGTTTAAAAGAAGCGGCTGGGGCCGAAGGGAGCCGCGACCCCATCGAAACAAACGGATAGCAGCAAAAGTGAAGAGGCGGGTCGAGGAGTAGGAGGCCGGCTAGTGAATGCGCGCGTTCCTATGGATCCCAGGGGTTCTTAGGCAGACCTGGCGCGAGCAGGATTCCTGATTAAGTGGTCAGGAGGTCTCAGGCGAAACGGCTGCCAGACCGGATGGTCTCGGGTTCCCCGCCCCCGTGGTGGGCGTCTCCTGTGGTTGTTTTACACTTGTTAGTTGTACAGGGCGTCCCAGGTGAAGTCAGGACAAGCACCGCGTGGAGACCTGAACGACTACGCTGTAGGGCCAACACTAGTGTTAACCTTATGACGAAGCATACGAACATGTAGGTTTACAGGACACGCATGTGAATTCTTCAGCCGCGCCTACACTGTTTCACCGAGTGTCGGGGCAAATTCGTAGCTAACGGGGTATGTGGCTTTCAGCCTCGCATCATCGGTCGTCTGAAGCAGGAGGGGTTGTCCAGTCACGGGGAATGGTGGGGGGAGTAGTAGGAACAGCAACATCACATCACAAGACAAAGCGACAACGGACAAGGGTGCGCCAATTAAAAAAAAATCCCGTCGATGTTTGGGCACAGCGTCCTGGGTTCGGTTGTGTTTTGTGCCCCTGCATTTTTGTCTGAACTCCCTGCGTTTGAAACGCTCTCTCTCTCATCGTCTTCATCCGTCGATCGCCAATGTAGCTCCTTCACAATCACCGCGATATAGCAGTTCCAATTTCCGCATCTTTCAATTTCCATATGTTTGCACGGATGGTGGCTTTCATATTTGGATTTTCTGCGGCCGAAGGAGAGGAGGCCGCTCCAGCGGCAGTCCCAGCAGCACCACCATCAGCTGCGCCAGCCCCAGCAGCAGCTGCAACAGCAGCAGCAGCGCCGCCAGCGCCAGCACCATCACGTCCACCGCCAATGAGACCAAGAGGCATGCGGGGGAGAGTCACGAAAGCGAAACACGTGTCCAAGCGTCTGACTGAGCAACGGGACGCTGCCATTTCGGTGGCCAGCCCGACTGTGGCGAACAGCGTGCCAGGCGACATTGTCAATCTCAAGACGCAGATTCGTGGGGATTCTGTCAAGGAGCCACAAGTTGCAATAACTGCATCAGGCATGATACACATTGACCAGAGACGACAGCACGATCGATGGACAATCAGATGAATTCGCTCCCACCATGAGGCCACAAGGCAATCCGTTGGACCATGTCTATCAAATGTGGTGTCTTTGGTTTGCAATGATGTCACAGGCGACGCGCCGATATGCGTTCCGACGCCGATGACAGCCGCGGACAAACGGGCCCGCGCAGTTTCCGCTAACAGGAACGGCCGAAGGGGCGGGAAAGAAACAAAGCAGTTGGCAGGCATGATGCCACGCCGTGCTTGGATTCCCTGGAGCATATGTCTGTCCAAGAGGCCGACGCCAGAATGCGCTCGCGGCGGGGGGCGCAGACACGCGGCCCGATCCGAGCACTTCCACTTCCATGCGAAGCCGAAAGCGAAAAGAAATAATGTTAAACGGTGGTAAGGTAGGAGTCAACGAGTCAAGCATTGCGGGCCGAGCGCAACGCTGGATAGAGCGCGTGCCGCGGCAAAGTGTTGCACGGATGGCGTTGCTAAAATAATGGTTTGTTCGGCCTAGTTTTGAGCCGTGACTGACCCTCTACAGGGGGGATAGTCAAAACTATTCAACGCATAGTTCTGGGACGATTTTCTGAGTGTGCTTGAGTACTTTTGGAAAGTTGTTTGGTTGTTCTACTTCCCGCCCAAGCTCCGCCTGCAGGGGGGCGCGCCCGACCGAAGCTTATTGCGAACAAGGAGATCACGCCGACAAGAGGGGCGAGATTCGTTTTCGCGCCCATGTGGGCGCGCCGTGCCAGGGGCATCAGACTTCGTCTACCAACAAGAAGCAAGCGTGCATACAGCCCAGGGCAATCCACCCTCAGCCCCCGCGCGTTTAGGTCACATCTTGGAGGGCGCCACGCATGCGAGCAAGGTGTTTGTGGCAGTGGGCGCCGCGATCGATGACAGTCGAGCGCCGCGAAGTGCTCTGGCTGCCGGATGAGTGCCTCGCGATTCATTATCCGAGGCCGAGTGCAAGGACACCATCGACCACGGCAATGGGAATTGGACTGACGCAACAACATAACGTGCACTATTGCTTCGCCGGCAATTGCCCTGGCGGCTGTGCCGTTAGGGGCCACTGCAAACGGATCGCAAAAGATGTGGCTCGGATTTGCATTAGTTCAGGATGGCCTATGGCGTTGTTATGCAGATGGAAACACACGGGCGCAGCCCTTGCATTCGCCGCCCGCGGCAGGGCCAGCATGAGTTCCCCTTGGGCGTCGAAAGTGATGCGGATGCAAAAAGAGGTCGGGGATGCGAACGCTGCAGCAGTGAAAGCCAGGAGCGTCGACGAGCTGAGTTTTCAGACGAAGTCGATGGTCTACGCTGGTGGGGCGATGCGAAGTTTCGACAGCGACCGCGGTGGCATGCATGTCTTCTCGTCCCAGATTTTGATCCCGTTTCGACGAAACTTGAGCCGCGTCGTGGAAGCGGGCAAGCTTTCGGACAATTAACGAACGTTGCGACTGTGGACCCTGCAGAGGAATGCACGCGCGCGTTGTCCACATGGCGATGCAATGTAAATAACAGGTTCGTCTCTGGAACGCGCGGGCATGGCGCCATCTCCGGCTGCGCAGGAATGATCGCGAACCCAGAGAGCAACCAGTGGCAGCGATCGGGGATGGGCGAAGTTGGCATGTCGGGCGCCGCTTGTTTGGCTTGCGCTGCAGCCTCGGGCGCCCGGCGACGCCTGTCTTTTATATCGAAGCCCCAAGATTTCGGATGTTAGGCCTTTGCGCCCGCGACGGCAGCAGCGCGTTCAACTGCTCTCCTGAGTCGGCGCAGATTTCTTCGACTGTCCTGTAGGGCCGCGAGACCTACGGGGCCTGCCTCGACGACTCTCTCGCCGCGGAGATGGCGAGGTTCTTCGATGCTGTTTCCGAGGGCCCGCGCTCATCTAATCGGCGCGATCGCCAGCCTTCGCGCAGGCCGCGCGAGCGCCGAGCGAAGGCGCCTCCGCGGGCAGCCTCCTAAGCCAACGAAGCCGCGAGGCGCCGCTGTCGACGCGGCGAACTCTTCCGCGAGCGCGCGCGTTCAGCGCGTGGCGCGGGAGGCCGAGTTGAATTATGATGCGGCCTGCAGGGCGGCGCCGGGCCGACGCGGGATGCGCGCTAACCGGCGCCGTGCGTTTTCCGGGAGGTTCCGCTTGGGCGGCTCTCGTCAGTCGCCGATCGATGCGTGGCGCGTCGAGGTCGCGACTCTGGGGCAATCTTCGATGCGGAATATGGGCACGGTGGCCAATCGACGCATTCCCCCGGGGAGTTGGTCGCGCCTCGCCCCCCCCCCCGGAAGCCCAGAGTTCGATTCCGAGGAGAAGCGGGTCGAGGATTTCGGAGAGTGCTCATGAGAGGCAGATGCGGTTCTTTATCAGGCACCCGCTGCCGCGACGCCCGAAACCGTCGCCGGCGCCCTGGGCGCCTCGGCCATCGCGAAGATCGAGGCCGCCCGCCCTTGATTGGGCGATCACCAGCGTGAGCTCTTTATGGCGGAGATGTTTCTCCAAGGGGTGCCAGAGTTCCAGTCGCGCGCGGCGCGGGCTGGCGGGCCCGGCGCTTCGTCGCCGTCGTCGTCGGCGCTGCGCCCTTCCATGGTGGGTGCGCGCGCGGCGGGGGCGGCGCGCAGACGGAGGTCCAATCTGGTTTCAGCTGCGACGAGAAGGCAGCGGAGCCCCCCAGGGGCGGCCGCGCCGACGCGGTCGCGCCGCTCGAAGCATTGGGGGGCTCTGCCGCCCTGGCCGCTGGCAACCAGCCGCTGCGCGCGGCGTGTGGGATATCAGCGGGCTTCTGAGTTGGAAGAACACATCTCGAGCTACGCAACCCGCGACTGCGTCTATCAGGTTGCGCGGCGCGGTCAACCGCTGCATTATCGCAGACACTTCTCCAGCGAGGGTGGAACTATTTCCTTGCCGCGACCGGGGCTTGCCGACGGAGCTCGCGACGCAGCGCCGCCGCGGTTGGGCGCTTCTGCAGCCGCGTCGCATCTATGAGCGGGCAGATGGCGGTTCGAGGATTTACGATTCGGCGCGGCGTCGGCCCTGAATTTGTCGCCGCAAGTTTGGCCATCGAGCTCAAGATGTGCATCGCCGAGAAGGTCGCGCACAATCGAAGGCTCGCAATCGGGGCCATCGGCGCTTCCCGCGAGGGGCGACCCCTCGATTGCCGCGCTCGCAGGCGCTGGGGGAGCGGAGAAGCCGAAGGATGCGAGTCTAATTTTGTCTTTGGTCTCGAGCCCGATGGCGGGGGCAGCGCCGAGCGCGACGTCGTCGACGACGACGCCGTCGATGTTGCCGAGGTTGCGAAGGCCGGCGATAGCGGCGCGCCTGGTGCTCCTGATTCAGGCTCGGGGGGGGGGGGGGAGGGGGGAGGGCGGGGGCGGGGGGGGGCAAGGGGGGGGCCCCGTCAATCTGGAGGGGGCGGGTGCGGAGGAGGAGCCAAGAGGAACAAGAGGGGGAGGGGCCAGGAGGGGCCGCGGCCCCCTCGCTCGCGCCGGGCGATCCTGCGCCAGAATCCCACGCCCCCCTTGCTCGCTCTGTCTCTCGCCCCGCCCCCCGCTCGTCCTGGGCGGCCTCGTCGACGACGGCGGGGGCCGCGCTGGCGAGGCCGTCGAGCCCGACGGGGTGAAGCAGGCGGGGGGCTCCGATCTAGATGCCATCCATCGGGCCATTGCGCATCAGTGGCTTGCCTCCAGCTCTCTGTGAGATAATCCAAGGCCAGCTCAAGTTCTGGCTATGAGATGAAGCTACGGAACTAGAGAAGTCGCTGCGCCACTCTTGCCTCATTGCACTGCCAGTCACCTCAGATTGAGCTGCGAGTGTCTCCGTGGAGCCATGCTGAAGGCAGGAATTTCGGATGGGGATAATTGCAACGGTCGATTGCAACGGTCGCCTGTCAGCTGTTGGACGCGGCCTTCCTGCGTCGTCGACTGGCTAGCGTGGCTTCGCAGGAATAAGCGCTGACAGTTCCGCCTCCCGGTAGGGCCCTGGCATCTGATCGACGCTTTTGTGCCTGGGCCCGCGTCGAGAGTTGTGCCCAGGTGCCCGGCCCCCACCGTCGGCGCGCGATTGGATTGCGCCGGGGGGCTGCGGCGCCGCGCCCGCGGCGAGGTCGGGTGTGTGTGTGTGTGTGTGCGTGTGTGTGTGTGTGTGCGTGTGTGCGTGCGCGTGATTGTGCTTGCGCATCTCTATATATATATATATATATACACATACAGGAACCATGATATATAACACAGATCTGAGTGAGGTTGATTGCGCATGCGCCGTTGCTGTAACTTGTGCACTGTGGAGAGCCAGTCATGGCTCAACTCGTGCTGAGGTGGAAAAGTGATTCACCGGCCCTGTCGGGCAAGGTCCGTGGACCCCAGCTCCCCTACTTGAAGTTATTAAGATAACTCACACTTATTATCAAAGTACTTGCATGGTAGCGCGATTGGTTTCTTCTCAGAATGGCTGGTCTTGTTGACGCGCGCCTGCTGGGGCGACCAACAAAGTATTCAGGCAGCCGCGACGAGTTCCCGACCTTCAGGTGCCAGCTGATCAGCTACTTGGGCGCGATCGACCCGCGATTGGCGGCAGCGGTCACGACAGCAGCTAACCGCGACAATGTCATTACGCTCGCAGAGATGGGCGACGATAACAAGCAGTTCGCAGCTACGATAGGATACATTCTCTCACAGCTGCTTGGAGGCAGTGCGCTCGCCTTGGTGATGAATTGTGAACAAGGCAGTGGCTTGGAGCAGCGGGGGCGCTTGTGCTGACGAGAGGACGCGGCCGCCAGCTCCAACAAGGTGACGCAGCTGCAGGTTCTAGTGAACACAGAGCTTTTCAGGCAAATGGGAGACCCACGTCGAGGAGCTCGCAAAGTTCCTACCAGACATCGATCGATATCAGGAGAAGTTCAGCGAGATCATCTCCGACACCCTCGCCCAAGCTATGATCAAGAAGAACGCGCCCGAGCCGCTCAAGACTCAAGTTATGATGCAGACTTTCGCGACGTACCAGACACTGCGAGAAGCTTGCGGATCCTTTGCTCAGCAGATGAGCCAGCGCGACCCGAAGACCAAGAAGAACTTCGACCCTAAAGCCATGGACGTGGACGCTTTCGGCAAAGGTGGTAAAGGCGATCCCAGAGGCAAGGGCTACGGCAAGACGGACACGAAGGGCGGGGGCAAGTCAAGCTGTCAAAGAGAAGCAGGCGGAAAAGGCGGCAAGAGCGACAGCAAGGGCAAGACAAAGAGCAAGAAGGGCGAGACGAAGTTCTCCGACGGATGGTGCTCGAATCCACGCTGCGGCAAGCGTGGGCGCAAGATCGCGGATTGCAGGAAGTGCGGCGGTGGAGCTTACCAGCCCGGAGGAGGTCGGCGATCCATATCGGAGGTTCAGCCAGGATCTCCGCAGACGCCTGGATCGGGCACAGCAAGTACGGTCCATCCAGGAGACTCAGCACCGCAGATGTCAGCGCCGTCCCAGGCTCCGACCCGAGGACTTGGACGGGTGCAAGCAGCGATACTACCAGAAAATGAAGGGATATGGATATTCGCGTTCACGGGCGATCACGACGGAGACGAATGTGATATGCTCGTGGGCAGTGGAGCTCACACTCACGTCGTACCAAAGGCTAGGACACAGAAGTGCGAACTCACGGGCGAGCCAGGTCAGTCTCTGCGATCGATCACTGGAAAGGGTATTCGGACTTGGGACAAGCGAGCGTTGACGGGGGAAGTTTTCGATTCAAACACGGCGATTCCTGCTGAGCTCGACGTCGCACCAGCTGAAGTTCGGAGAGGTGCCCCTTCAGTTGCGGAGATGAATCATGCAGGTTATTCAGTGCACTTCGACCCTGACGGAGCCGAGATATTCAAAAAGCAACAAGAGTGTGCAGCACGAGATGGACAAATCCATAGAGTCTACTGTACCACTACAGTTGCGACGGAAGGTGAATGCGTTTCTTCTTCGCATGAAGGTCAAGGATCCGACAGGCTACGGGTCCATCATCGGCGACGACGAGAACCATCCCGATAATGAGGACGTGCAGATGAAGGAGGAGCCCGTCGAGACTGAGCCTGCGGAGGTGCAGGTCAATAGTGGAGCGGCCTGTTCACGTGATGGCCCACGTGGTGCCGCTCAGGGAGTTCCAGATCAGACGGGGGGGCCCGTCGCACCTGGGCTCAAAAGACCAGCTCAGGTGCGGGGAGAAGTTGTTAGAGCGCACATTCGGAGAGGTCGCATGCCTTTTCGAAGCTTGGTGTCAGGAGCGCATGATTGGAAGGGGCCAAGAAGACCCCCACCGCGCAAGAGATCCCAACGCATCAGCTACGCCAGTTGTTCAGTTCGATTCTGGGTTTCTCAGCCTTGGCGAAGATGGGGCAGGTCGTAAACTCACCGTGGCAGTTGGCAAAGATCGGAGGACAGGCTATCTCATGGGAGTCGTTGGCGAAGCTAAAGGCAACCAGAGTTATGCTAGATCGGCCATCAGCGAGTACCTGGACGAGCTGGGCTACGTGAGCATGGAGGTGCAGCTGGACGGCGAGCCCGCACTGGAGGCACTCATGAATGGAGTTGTTTCGGAACGTACCAAGAAGCTTGGCAAGGAAGCAGCATAATCTCAACTTCGAGCGCGTCTAGTTCCGAAAGGCAGCCATGCTTCTCAAGGAGGAGCTGAAAGTAGCATAATATCAACTTCGAGTGCGTCTAGTTCCGAAAGGCAGCCATGCTTCTCAAGGAGGAGCTGAAAGTGGAGTCAAGTCGGTGGCAGGTCCTGCGAGAACTGGTCGTTTGGCCCTGGAGAAGCGTTACAACATGCAGTTGACAGAGGACGTGCCCGTCATTCCCTGGATGATTCGCCATCAGATATTCTGCCACAAAAGGTACCAGCGGAGGAGGAGCAGCGGTCGCACATCTTTCGGGGAGCTCAGATTGCCGCCGTATACTTCACCCATGCTGGAGTTCGGGGAGACGGCGATCGGCAAGGAGAACACGGAGCTGCAGGACAAGCTGGGTACGGCCTGGCGCAAGGGAATGTGGCCCGGAAGCAGTACGAAGAGTGACGCTCATCTTATCGGCACGGCAACTGGGATAGTTCAGGCCAGGGCGGTGAAGCAGCTGACGACGGAGGAGGGTTTCGACATGGAGATTATCAAAGCTATGCGTCGGACGCCTTGGAGGACCTCGGTGAAAGCTGGAGTCTACGAGGGCGAGAATTGGCAGCCGACGGAGGTGCGCCCTGGGTGTGGGTATGCAGCTAAAGGTCAGCACGGACGAGGTCGGCCACCACGCCGCAGCAGGACACGCCAGCAGCGTCGCTCCGAGTATGAGAAGTCAATCGCCACAGCGAGGAGCAGCCGAAGGTGGTCGTGGTTCCAGTGCCCGCGGTCGGACCTGAGGCGCATCACGGCGATCAGCAACCACCAGCAGGGCCAGTGCCCGCACAAGGTCAAGATCCAGTTTTGGAAGTTCGGCAGCAGGCACAGAGGATCGAGAGGAGGCTTCGCGGCAAGCAGGATGCTCCAACTCCAGGATCATCCGCTAAGCGAGGAGCTGCTGATGCAGATCTCGGCGAAGGCGGCCCTGGAGGTCCACCCGGCAGTCGAGGCCTCGTCGGAGCCATCGAGAACATGATCACGGACGACCTCAAGAGGCTCGTAGCAGGCTTCAGCACCGAGGAGATGATGAGGCTCGTGGCCGAGGTCGACAAGGAAACGAAGGACGACAGCGAGTTCAGCATCGTGATGGGTTGGGCGGAGGACGACGAGTGGGAGGCGAAGCGGTGCGAGCTAGATCGGTTCGACAACCACGACGTGCGGGAGAGCTCACTCTCAGAGACCCTCACGGACCTAAGGCACTTGCGTGGACTTGGGTTTTGGAGACGAGGAGTGGCGACCGGGGCTCTGTGCGCGACCATTCGGCAAGCAGATCAACAAGAGCAAGAATGAGTTGTACTGCCCCACTCCACTTTCGTTTTCACTCAAGTTGCTCATGGTCTACGCTATTGTGAAAGATTTCGCCATCTTCTTCTTCTATAGTTTCTGTGCACGCCGAGTCGGGAGTTGGTTTACGCTGAGGTCCCAAAGGAGTATCGCCATCTTCCAGACAGCGCGGATTGGGTTTTCAAGCCCAACAAGACAATTTACGGACTCAACGAGGCGATGATAGATTTCGACGACCACTTCGAGAACATTGCCACAGGACGGAGTGACGAATCACAGATGACTTTCAGGAGGGTTCTTTCTGACCCGTGCACGTGGCTATGTCCGAGCACGTCGACGACGGCACGCTGGTGGGACCCTGAGTTTCAGCCAGCAAAGCGTTGGAGGAGCTCGGCACGCATTTCCTACTCAAGGTTTCTGAGCTTATAGTTGGTGGCCCCGAGATCAAACATCTTGGACGTGGCTGGCTCCGCACCCCCGAAGGTATTCAAGCTCGCATGCGGCCTGCTATCGTCAAGAAGCTACTCGACACCGAGCCCAATGATAAGAAGACGAGCCCAATACCAGGAATCAAGAACGAGAAGAAGGTCGAGAGCGAGGAGGAGTCAGACTCAAAAGCAGTCACAAAGTTCAGAATCATCAGCGGTCTCAACATGTTCGTGTGCTTGGGGGGGGCCGGAATGTCAGTACGCGGCGAAGGAGTGCTCAAAGGGGGTGTCACGGCCTACGGTACAGGACCAGACGAAGCTTACACGCATCATCAGGTTTATCCGAGCACATCCATCCTCAGTGACGTGCATGCACCCAGACAGCGGCGAGTTCAGGATCATCGGACGTGCAGACTCTAATTGGGCAGAAGTTCCCATTGGCAGAAAGTCTACCAGCTGTGTCCAGCTGTTTCTCAACGGGGCTTTGATCATGCAGTTCGTCAAGACGCAGGGGGCTCCAGCACTCTCGTCGCCCGAAGCCGAACTCAACGCGCTTGTGCATGTCGGGATCGAGGCGAGGGGTGCTCAGACGTACCTCAAGGAGCTCTTGGATGATACGATACCAGTGACGCTGGAGAGCGACAACTCTAGTGCACTCACGAACGTGGAGAAGAAGGGGGTTGGCAGGATGAGGCACATCGAGCTGAAGGACCTGTGGATCAAGGACCTCGCTTCGCGCAAGGCGGAGACCGAGGTCAGCGCCAGCAAGGTCCACACCGACGAGAAGACGGCAAATCTCGGCACCAAGCATCTCTCGAGGATCGATTTCATGAAGCGCTTGACGGCTATGCAGGTATGGCTCACAGGAAAAGGCGAAGTTGGTGGAGTTTCATGTTCAAGCAATGACAGAAAAGGGCCAGATCGGTAAACCTGCGCTGGGGCTGGTGGGAGCACTTACTCAATGCCTGGTGGGTCTTGGGGCGTTTCTACAGATGGGACGTGCCGATGCTGCCGAGGTGATGGAGACGAGCTACCAGCCAGTCACGGTCTTAGCCCAGAAGGGCGATGGACGCCACTTAGGCAACACTGCGGCGGCCCAGATGATGATGCTCACCCTTTTGAGCGTTATCTTGGCCAGTGCAGTCTTCAAAGTCAAGCAGCACATGGATCGCAACCCGCAGCCAGCACGAGAGGACGCCGCAACTCAGTACAGCCTGAAGGATACAATGGGGATAGACACGACCAACAGGATCGTGAGACAACATATCCGGGCCATATACACAGCCATGACGATAGATAGTTGACGCGAGTTTCTACGGTTACGACGCTTGGGTCGGTCTTCCTCAACTTACACGAAAGCTATGGTGGTCGAGTCTTGCGTGGGGACGTCCCTGGACGATCAAGCACGATAAGATCTACAGTATGAATGGATGCGCTGAGAGTTGGCACGCGCATTCATTCATGGTCGTTCGCCACTGTGTTTCCAGATGGCGTGCCCTACCTTGGCCGGGGCTGCAGATGGTCCCGAGGAGGAGTACAGAGAACATGATATATCACACAGATCTGAGTGAGATTGATTGCGCATGCGCTGTTGCAAAAACTTGTACTGCGGAGAGCCAGTGTTCGCTCAACTCATGCTGAGGTGGAAAAGTGATTTCACCAGCCCTGCCGGGCAAGGTCCGTGGACCCCAGCTCCGCTACTTGAAGTCACCAAGAAAACTCACACTTATTATCGAAGTACTGGCACACTATATATATATATGAAGACACATATCTATACACATATATATATATATATATATATATATATATATATATACAAAAATATGTGCGTATGCATATCTGTATATATGCATATATGTGTTTATAAGTATTATATATATATATATATATATATATATATATATATATATATCCCGTCGAATGTATCCGGGAATCCTGCTGTCTGGATTGGGTCAGAATTGGGTCCTATTGGGCCTTGCTTGGGTCTTAGTGGATCTCAGTTGGGTCTCAGTTGGTCTTAAGTGGGCCAAGTGGGCCCTAGCCGCGGACCTCGTCTCTGGCCGGCCCCGGGCTCGAGGCTCCGGCGGCGGGGGCGCCGCGGCGGAGTCGGCCGCCCTGGCCCCGCCGCCGGTCCAGGGCAGCTTTACGGGGCCCTCTAGAGGCCGCGTGGGGGCCCTCTTGGGCCCCTGGAGCCGCCTCCGCGAGCCTCAGGGCCCGGGGGCAGCGGTCTCTCCTTGGACGCAGCGGCGCCGCGGAGCTCTGGGGCACCCGGGCACGAATGCTCCCGGGACCTGATTGGCCCCATGTCGTGCCCCCCCCCCCCCCCCCCCCCCCATCGGGGCCACGCTGCGGCGCTACCTCGGCGAACCGATGGGGCCCCCGTCTCAGCATCGGGACTTTTGCAGTCCCGCGGCCGCTTCCGATCGCGTTGTCGCAGTCTTGCCGTAGCCATTTCAGCCTTCGTCCTGCGAGAAGCCGACGGCGCCGCCGAGCCGCGCCGCCCGCTTCCAGACGCGCGCCGCGGGGAAGCCCGCCGGTGATCGAGGCGGTCGCGCGAACAAGCCGCAAGCCCCGCAGGCGAGGCTCTCAGGAGAGCAGATGGCCCCTCCAGCCCCCGAGGAGGGCGAGCGCCCTTACTTTACATTGACGCGCGGCGGCGCGCGACCAGAACAGCGGCGACGTCGACGAGGGCTTCCCCGACCAGTCGGCGCCCAGGTGGTCGAGTGGCAACGCGGCGCGGGACGGCGCGCGGGGGCCGCCGGGGAGGGGGCGCGACGATTGCAGGTGCAACCAGAGGAAGCACCACAAAGACCCCGAACATGGACCCGATCCAAGCTAATCGGTCGGCGCTCGCGCGAGGCGATGCTGGGCGGCTGGGCGCGCGACTGTCGAGCGGGGCAAGCATAGCGCGCAGTTCGCAGAGGGGTCCGCGGACTTCAAGGAAGGTTTCGTCGAAGGCTCTCTCTGCAAGGTGTTCGATCCTGCTCGGCAGCTCAGTCCGAACGAGGACTTCGCAGGCTGGGGCGACGCGCTTGATGACTGCCTGGGCGGGCGATAGCCGCGCAGACGGCGAGATCGCGCGGGGCAGGTTCGGCAGCCTCGGAGTAAAGAAGCAGAACATGCCGCAGGAGGCAGGGGACTTCGGACACAACTTCGTTCAAGAGCGCTTCCAAGTTCGAGGCGGGCGCCGACGACGTCGCCGGGGCGGCGTTCCAGGAGCTGCGGCGCGCGGGGCGGGGCAGGGCAGGGCGGCGCGGTTGAGGCGCCCCCGGCGCGTGCCGAACTCGTTCAGCGCCTCGAGGCTCGCGCGTCAATCGCGACGAGGCTTCGGGGGCCCTGCTTGGCGCCCCCGCGAGCGAAGCTTCCTCGCCCGTGGCGGGGGCCCCCGCCCCTGCCGGCGAGAGTCGCGCCGACTTCGAGCAGGGGGGCTCGTCGTCGACAGGCGCCAGCCCCGCGGGGGCCTGCCCCGTCGGCCCCGGCAAGGCGTCGCGCGCGGGGGGTGCTCAGTCTGAAGCAGGCTCGAAAGTCGCAGACGACGGCGGCGCGAAGGAGGAGGCCGAGGATATGCCGGCTCTCACGGGCCAGATGAGGTCGCGCAGCGCGCGAGGAGGTTCATGGGCGCATGAAAAGACATCCTGGCCGTCGCCGCCGAGATGTGCGACAATTTTGAAATGTGGGGGCGCCGCGTGGGCGGGCGTCGAGTGCTCGGGTCGACGTGCTCGCGAATGGGCCCACTGAGTGCTACCGCTCGAAGGCGGGGCGCGGCGGAGATGAGCCAGGGGCGGAAGGGGGGCCGCGGCCAGCGCGGCGCGCAACCTGCTGGGCGAGTCCGAGCGCCTGAAGTTCATCGGCGCGCAGTAACCCCCTGATGTTATTGAACAAGTCGTTAAACGAGGCTCAGGAAATTCTCAACCAGAACATGTCCCCGCAGCCGGCGTCGAATAGCTGCGTCGCTGCAGGCGCCCGGGCTGTTTCGAGGGCGGAGTTCGCTGGTGGCCGCAGTTATGATGCGCGGGCGGTCGCGGCTGCCCAGGGCGTCCTGGGGCTCGCTGCTTTCGCGGATGACGATTCGATGGGCCGCGGCCCCCCCTCGAGTCGACCCGAGACAGGGCGCGACAGACCTTCGTCGCGGAGCTCGTCGAGAAGACGCTCGCCGCATCCCCAGATGTCTCCCAGACCTTGCGGGCCGCCGTCGTCGGCGCGGGCCCCCCCGCCGGGAGACATAAATAATTCCTTCTTGTTTCGAGGCGCCTGCCGCCTGTTCTCGGCGGGCACGCGCGGGCGCGGGCGTCGGAGCGCCCTTCTCGGAGTTCCTGAAGCGCGTCAACGCGAGCCCTCAGCTCGCCGCCGCCGCCAAGCTCGCGATGGAGTAGAAGAGCGAGGCCAGTTCGAGGCTCCGCGCTGGCTCGAACAGGAGGGGCATGCCCAACCGTCTCGGAGTCATGCGCTGGGGCACGGCGGACAATGTCGCAACCCTGGGGAACGATTGCAATCGGCGGCAGCTCGCTTCAAGAGCACCTGGGGCGAGCTCCGAGACATCAATCGCACAGGGGGCACTGCAGCTGGTCGGAAGCTTCATCGATGGCGGGCTATCCATCAAGATCTCGGGCGCGGCGCAGACGATGGTCGACGCTGACGGCGACGCCGTGTCCCAGGACATCGACGCCGCCATCGCCAAAGCTTGGTTCACCGAGCTGATGGGCGACGCCGAGGAGGTCATCGAGGGGGCCATTGGTGAAGCCACGCGTTGCCCGCGCGATGCTGGGCCCCCCCCCCGCCGGGCGGATCTGGCCAGGAGGAAGGCCCGCAGTGGGCGGCTCAACCTGTTCGGCGCATGCAGCAGCTTGTGTTTTTTTCCGCGTTCGCGACAATTTTGGGGCGACGCTGCATCTGGGCCGACCACGGGGCAAGCTGATGCCTGAGCCTCGTGCCAGGCTCGATCTGCTTTGCGGCGTCAGCAAGGCGGCGCTGAGCGAGAACGAGACAGCGCATCGCCATCGCCGACGCGTCGATGGGGGCGCGGGGGAGCGAGGCAATTGGCCTCGGCGATCCTGCGATCGTCTTCGATCGAGGGCGCGGCGACGCGGGCCTTCAAGCGTGCGCTGGACTTGCGGAAAGGGGCTCGGCGACGGCATCGCCTTGTTGGCCACCCAGTTGCAGGGCGCCTTTCCAAGGGGGTGCAGCACCGTACTCGGCGAGGCCAAGACGCGCAGCCACGCCGCTGCTAATCTGGGCAGGCTGGCCAAGGACGATCTCGTTTTCTGTTTGAGATCGGTGCAGCAGCCGCCCGTGGCCGCGTGGCTCTCAAGGAAGGCGCCGACGAAGTTCTGATGGAGAAGGTGATGGTTGCCCGCGAGAATGCCGTCCCCGACTGGCTCTCGCCATCGAACGTTGCCTGCGGTCTACGAGTTCGGTCGGGCGCTGGATTTTCCCGCGATGGTGATCACGGCGGTGGAGACGGTTGACTTCTAGAGCTGCCCGTGCATGGAGAAAGCGAAGGACGAGGATGTCGAGGAGAGCGTGGGCCCACGCGGCCGCCGATGCAAGGCAGCCAAGTCCACGTTCTGCATGGCCGCGGCGACCTGGCAGCTGATGTTCGAGCTCGAAAGTAGCGCGCGGAGGGCGTCAGGCGCGCAGGGCCCGAGGGGCGCGCGACAGATAGCTTTCCGGACAGGGAAGCGGAGATCAAGGTTATGTCCGCGACGGCGGCCATTGGCAATTCGCTCTTTCAAAGGCCCGCGCCAAAAAATACGCGGCCGACGCGAAGTCCACGAAGGCTTATTTCGTGAAGAACGGCTGCCAGACATCGAAGATGGGCAAGTTATTGAGGGGCGTCCTCAAGGAGGCTGAGATGACGTAGGCCATCGCGGCGGACGCGATCTTTGTGGCCCCTGTTGGAGGTAACGCTGCCGGCCCAGCCGCGGACGCCGAGGACTTCTCGTGCGCGGCCAGCTCCGAGCCCAACGCCGCGACGCGGCTGACGACGGCGACGTCGCGGGTTCAGGGCCCTCCAGGTTGAGCAGAAGACAGCGTGAACAGTGGATGCACCTCGATTCTATTTGATTCCTCGACTGGGAGTGGCTGGACTTATGAGTTGCGCGACAATGCCCACGTTGAGCGGAGCGCGGCTGCTCCGTGGACCAGCCGCTGATCGCCGCCTTTCGGAGCAGCTGCGGGGCGACACATGAGGACATGCGGCGCTACAACTCTGGCCACGTTGATGGCGCTGGCGCTGGAAAAGCAGAG